CCCCAAAACCCCAAAACCCCAAAACCCCAAAACCCCTTTTATAACTCAAAGAATTGAAGACATTATTGATTGGAATTACAAAATTCGTTTTGAATAATGTCAGGGACATAGCCGTTAAACGGCACTATGTTCATTCTCTCTTTGCCATTTCTCTTACTCTGGTTCTTCTTAGTTGCGCTTGAATGCTTAGAAGCAAATGCTCCTTTCTTAGCCTTTGTAGCAGACTTGTTATAGATCCTATTATTGGATTTGTTTGTTATAGATTTAGTTGATAGATTTTCATTCTTTTTATTCGATACGGGCACTCTGTCATGAAATGATTTTACAGCACTACCTGGGATAGATCTTCACCCTCCATCACTTTCGCTGGATGTAGAGTTAGTCTTTTTCAAGTACTTTTTATAGTTTAGTGGCTTAAAGCTTTCACTTTTTCTCAAGCTTGCCTGATAATTTCACACATCTGATTCAGATTCAGAGATTATTTTGTTTCTAAAATCTTCCATTGTTTGATTGATAATATCTTGGATTGAATTGATCTGCTTTTTACTGGTTCCCATCCTCTTGAGAGTAGCTGAAATTTTATCTTCTAGAGCATGTTCTACTTGGTCATAAGCCTCTCAAGTCGATTGGTATCCATTCTTTAGTTTATACACTTCAAACTTTTTGTCTTGAAGTTCATCAATTAATGTCTCGTTTTCTTTAGTAACTTCTTGAAGTCTGGTTTCTAGTTGGTTAATTTTGGCTATTTCTTTGAAATTCTCTTTATCATCCTGGTTTACCATCCTATTCATGCCATTACTTTGATATGCTAGCTTCTGTAACTCCTCAATAATTTCATCTGAAGTCATAAGTTTCATCATGGCTTCTTTATCTTTGGCATCTTTGCCAAATAATATTTCTGGTGGAATGACTCCAGCCAGAGGGTATGGAAGATTTTTATGCTCTTTTTGAGAGCCTTCTTCGTTGAAATCTAGTGCTACTTCTTTGTCTAAATTTAGGTTAGCAATGATGCCTTACTCCTTTCGTCAACTAATCTTTTATTAATTTGTTCAATTGCATCAAGTTCTTCCTGTAGTTGGATAATGGTATCATCTCTTTCATTTATCCTTGCAGTGAGAGCAAGCATGATATCCCTTTGCTTAAGTAGCAATTGTTTATATCGATCAACTTGAGCTTTATCTGCTTCTATCATCTGTCTTTCCTTCTCTATTTCTTGCAATCGCTCCTCATACTCTTCTCTGATTAGCTTCTGCTTGGTTTCAAGTGCAGATCTAAATTGAGGTGTTTCTTCAATTCGCTTTCCTCCAACAAGAAGCTGGGATGTGAGTTGTTTAATTTGGTCTTCCTTCTCCTTCAGATATTCTTTATATTTAGATTCTAAGGCATAAATGGCAGCCTCTTTATCCTTTTCTGCCTTCTGTCTGTCCTGCTTGAGGCGAAGCATTTCTTCTTTTGAGAAAATTTCATCTCTCTTTTGTGCTAATTGCTTTCTTAATTTCTTTAATTCTACTTCGTATTTTCTCAATAGAGCTTTTTGGTCGACATCCTCATTTATTCGAGCCTCATTTTTAATTTTCTTTGCTCTTGTAGCAAATTTAAGTGTGGATACAGACTCTGAGTAAGCATCATAGCTAGGGGAGATCATAGCCATCATTGTGGTTTTACAATTTCCACCCAAGGAATCTTCTAAAATTCTGGTCAATTTAGAATCTCTGTAAGGGATATGTGATCGAAATTTCTTGTCAGTTAGAGCTGTAATCACATTTCCAAGGCAGGATAATGATTTATTGATGGATTTAGATTCTTCTAGTCTTTTTCCTGTAGCTCCAGTCACTCTTACTCTTTCACTTCCAGCAAGATCCACAAGATTTAATTTCCCAACTTTGATTTCTCTTGATGTCTCATGTTGTGATCCCTTTGCATCTTCAGATTTGTCTCCAGTATCTCTCATTTGTTCGACTATTATCATGAAAACAGCGTGAGATCGTGATGAGATATCATTCATATTAGTTGCAGCAGTTGCTCTGTTCCTCATACCATCCTTCATGAGGTTGTAGATGTCATTTGGTGACCTAACCACCCATTCAGAAAGTCCTTCGACAAAGACTCCTTTCTTTTTATCTTCACGGATTTGGAGTGGTGTCATCTCTTGCTTCAACAAATCTGTAATAACTTCATTGTAAATCTGAAGATAAGAGGCTCTGACCATGAAAGTTTTGCTTTTGTTGGAAGAAGATTCAATAAATTTGAATATTTCCTCCATTGATCTTGGAATGATCCCCTTCTGTGGATCATTCAAACTATTACTAAAGCCTTCCATTGTATATGTTTTTCCAGTTCCAGTCTGCCCATATGCTAGAAGTGTGGCATTATATCCTTCCAGGACTGAAAGAACAGCTGATTTCGCAGTATTCTCATACAAAAATTTTTGTGAGGAATCTTCACCATAAACATAGTCAAATTTGAAAGTATGGTAAGCACAAATATTCGGATTTGATGCGATTTCCTTTTGTCGGCCTCCTTCTTTGATTTCAGCCCCTAAATATTCCTGGATGGTCACACTATTTATTATTCTTAGCAATATGGGTTATTGGGGCGAATCCAGCATGTGCATCTATTTCTCTAGGAAGGGGAGGCCTAACTCTAACCACTACCTTAAAGTTCTGCTCCTTTTTAGAAGATGTCTTAGATGAAATACTTTTTGAAATTGTTGATTTTGTAGGAGTTCTTTCCTCCTCCAAGTCTGAATCATGGAAGTGGTTGTCTGACTTAGTCTTTTCGAGTTTTCCCAGCTGTCGGGAAAACGATTTCAGAAAATCAATAGAGTTACTCGAAGAAAGCATGGAGATTTAATTTTATATTCTTCCTCAGCTAGTTCGTTAATATTGGGGTTTTGGGGTTTTGGGGTTTTGGGGTTTTGGGGTTTTGGGG